GTGAGATATTCAGCATCTCAGGTGAGATATTTAACATCTCAGGTGAGATATTCAACATCTCAGGTGAGATATTCAACATCCCAGGTGAGATATTCAGCATGTCAGGAGATATTCAACATCTCAAGTGAGATATTCAGCATTTCTGGTGAGAGATTCAGCATCAGGTGGTATGGGGCCTGCCTGTGGAACGTTGACCCACCCTCCTTCGCTAATGCAATAATTGTGTGTGGGAGGTGTAGCTACACATGCAATCCTCATCCGTCCACATAATTAGCCTCATTAACTAGTCTCGATGGCCTAATTGCTAGCATTCAGAACTTTGGGCGTAAAGGTCTAGCTAGGTCCATTCAGTCTCGCTTCGGTCACTGCTGTGGAGGCCTTTTTACAAGCAAAGCACTTTATACTAATTTCCTTCATTCGCACTTAGGAAATGGCTTTTGAGTGCCTTTGTTATAACAAGGCATATAACATATAACAGCATATAACATTTATAACAACCTCAGCCACGTAAAAACGAGTAACTTTGCTGCACGAAGCGTGTTACGATAACCAAAGCAACACAGTTGTGGGGGCCGTGCCCCCCGAATGGGGCCAAAATGACAAAATAATGATTTGCACTCTCGAGGCACTGCACTCGCGAGGCAGGGTGGTGTACTCATATACAAGCGTGGTTCTAGTTAAGCTGAGTAACGTATAATTATTTTGGCCATGAGTCATCGGTCACTAGCCGGTTGTTGGTGGTAAGCGATTCATAATAGTCCCATTGATTAGTAAGTCCAGTAATGTAGCCGTTGATTAACCTGCAGTAGGACAATAGGAGATTTGTTTATACCAGGCTGTCCACGTTAGGCAGCGTTAGTTGTTTGGTTACGAGTGATGTGCGATTGGGTGCGTGAGCGTCAATGATTACTGTTCTCCTAGTCATGCAGCCTGGCACATCTGTCACGTCGACGCATGAGTGAACGAATGGGAGAAAGAGAAAGGGAGAAAGAAAGAGAGAGAGAGAGAGAGAGAGAGATAGAGAGCAAGCGGAAGCACAAATGAAAGTGAGAGTGAGTTATGGAAAGAGAGAAAAGGGGAGCAAAGAGAGAGAGAGAGGGAAAGAGATAGATCTATAGAGAGTGAGATATATATAGAGCAAGAGAGCACAAGAGAAAGAGCGAGAGAAAGAGATAGAGAGAGAGAGGGAAAGAGATAGATAGAGAGTGAGATATATATAGAACAAGAGAGCACAAGAGAAAGAGCGAGAGAGAAAAAGAAAGAAAGAGAAAGAGAGAGAGAGAGAAAGCGAGCGAGCGAGAGAGAAGGAGGGGGCGAAGAGTGAGAGAGAGATTAATCTCTTGCTTAATTGTGTTTATCATTATACAGATTTCGATGACGATGATGGGGGAGCAGAAGAGGAGGAGGAAGAAGAGGAAGAGGAGGACGAACTGGATCGTGAGGGGAAGCGCGTGGAGGAGCAGGAGATCGAGGAAGATGACGCAGAGCATATGATCTCAAACAAGGTCAGACACGAATCGATAAGGAACATGCCAAATATGGGAAACTCTAGAAAAAATCTCACGCAAGAGTCCAGTGGGCTTGATGATGAGGAAGATGAGGTATAGTATCTTGTTTAGTTTAGTATATCATATATATATATATATATATATATATTGATAGTGTGTATTGTATAAAGCATATACTACATAGTATCAGGAGCTTATAAAAGGAACTTTTATAAGCTCCTTTTACTTATACTTATACTATACTTATACTTCTTATACTAATACTTATACTTCCTTTTATAAGCTCCTGATAGTATATTCCTGCTGCCTGTGGTTATGCTTAGAAACGCGTGTTTTCTGTGAGAGGTGAGGATAGAGACAGGATTAGCTTATATTGAATGTGATTATGTAAGGGTGAGGTTGTGTTTGTGTGCGCAGGCATGTGTGTGAGCGACGGAAATGCGCCTCCAAATTGTTCATTTAACTGTGAATGTTATCAATGTTATGAGTGAATAATAATAGATTCTATCATATTCTATAATAGATCTATTATGATTCACTCCTGATGTTATCTATGCGTGCGTGCGTGCGTGCGTGCGTGAGTGCGTGTGTGTAAGCGTGGGAAGTCTCCTATATTCCTCAACCAATCTATGCGTGCGTGCGTGCGTGCGTGCGTGCGTGCGTGCGTGAGTGCGTGCGTGCGTGCGTGCGTGAGTGCGTGCGTGTGTGTAAGCGTGGGAAGTCTTCTATATTCCTCAACCAATCTATGTACGTGCGTGCGTGTGTGCGTGCCCGAGTGCGTGCATACTTGCGTTCATACGTGCGCGCGTGCGTGCGTGCGTTCACGCGTACACGTGCGTGTGTGCACATGCTCGTGATGTAACAGGCTGCTCTGTTGCTGGCAGGTCGACAGCGACCACGCGTCGGTGGACACGCTAGAAGATCTCCGCGTGCGAATGTCGGGAGTCATGAGTCGCAAGGGCCGCGCCGGCAAGAAGAACGACAAACAGAGGTACAAGCAATATTGATTGATTCGCGTCCGCCAGCCTGCGATGCACACGCATCAGACATGTGCGAAGGTGTTTGATGTGGACGCAGTGGTGGGATAAACTCTCCAGAGCGGCATGTGACTTGGACCGCTCGGTGGGCCGTACGTGTCCTAGATTGTTCCAGATCGTGTCCGGGTTGTAAACTGTCGTTGTACTGCACGGGCGCGTGCGTTTACGTACGCACGTATATATATACGAACAACTATACGTTCTGGAGTAGTCAAGCACACCGGATTGTTCAGGTTCTAGCGTGTCCTGGAATGTCGCCAGATTTGATGCGTTCTGGTTTTCTAGATCGCTCGTGGTTGAACATGTTTCAGAGTGTTTCAGAACGCCTGTCAACTACCTTCAGTCCAGCCAAACTTCACAATCCATAGTGTCGTTGAACAACTCTAGTTTGCGTATGTTCCAGAGGTTTCTAGAACACTCCTAGCAAGTGTATTCTAGAGTGTTCTGAGGCACCATTGAATGTCGTAGAGCGATCTAGAAACGTACAGCAAAATATATCTGTTCCAGATCATTCTAGAGCGTGCTCAGGTGGTTATGTGTTCTAGAGTGATTATTCTACCATCAGGTGTAATGAAATCTCGGTGGGTATAGGACAAGGATCTGTGTGCCCAGTGGCATGCTTGTGGAATCCTGTATGACACAAACAGTAACCTACTACCTTTTAGCAGTGGTTGACGTGGGGTTCCCTGCCAATCGGTTATTAAACTTATTTTCTATTATCAATCGATTCAATATTATCAATAGTTATTATTGTATAAATTATCAAGTAGTAACATGTCGGTGCCTTTGGTGCGCAAAGCTCTCATATCAGTTGGCAAAGCAACTATAGGATGTTATATCATTATACTTAATCCTATAGCAATATATCTAACTCTATAGCATTGTACTCAACTTTATAGCATTACGACTAACTCTACAGCATTAGGCCTACCTCTATAGCATTAGAGCTAAATCTATATAGCATTGAGTGACGTTATCAGGTCAGTGTATATCATCTCTATTCTATATCTATGGTTTTCGCTTGCAAATGCAGTCCATAGAAGTTACCAGGCCATAATAAAAATATTGGTTGTTTGCCTTCACCCGACCGGCCCGCCAAAAAGGGGTCGATCAAAAATTTTTATTGATCTTTCCCATTCTTTTTTTGTTTTACAAATTGTATCGCTGTACATTATATAAATCTGTAGGCAATACATTATATGTACCAAGCAAAACAAACATTTAACGTAAAAGGTATCTCCACACAAGCACACCCGAGCATGTAGACACCATGCTGAATTTGTAAAAAGCTCTCCCCTAAAAAAAATACCTACCTACCCACCCAAACTTTTTAGCCTGGGTCGGGTGAGGGCAAACAAAGATTTTTTTAATTGCGGCCTCAGGGGTAGATAATGACAAACACGTTTGTCATTATCTACCTCTGAAGTTACGTAACCAGAGCGACATCGCACACGATGGGCTGTTACGTGTCGGAAGCTTTAAGCTTCTGTTTTTGCCACGTAGATCCCCCATTGCATGCGCGAGTACAGAAAGCTCGCGCCATTGCCAGCCGTTTAACCCGTGCGCCATGTTTTTCCAATGCTGCATCGACAGACAGAGGTCAGGTAAAGTTCAGCCAAACGGCAGTCCGTCCCCGCCACCAGCAGACGAACGATAAGCGCATCCAGTTGCGGTGTAGCACCCACGGCGCCTCCGCGCACAATGCTCACACGCAGGGTTCCTGCGCTCACGCGCACGCGTTCTATTGTTCTTGGCTTCACTTGGCACATGTGCGGCTGCTCGACACGGCGAAGTGCTGTTCGGTTGTTTTTTCCGGCGTCCCGTCGACGAGAGCAGACGCCGTCGGTCGCGATAGATGACTTACTGGTTTCCTTTACGGGCAAAGTACGGAAATGCACTTTGGTCACGACAACGTCATGCATCGCCTGCAGGGGGCACCACCTACCAGAAGAGATGAGATGCGGGAAGAGGGCGTGAACTGGGGGAGGGGAACGGGGAGTTCATTCGCTGCGCGTGTGTCCTGTGTTATCCTGATACTCGATTCGAATGTCGCTGCTGAGAAGGGTTGGTTTGATAATATTTACAACAAACGCTGCAGTGGTTCTGATGCCACTGTTGGCAGACGCTTCTCGTGTCGTTGACATGTGCATCGGCTTTACAACGTAGACACACTCTCTCTGTTCAAACGAGAAGTTTTATTATTTTTATGTATCAGGTGCCTTCTGTGTCTGTTGCCCTCAAACGTTTGACTGTATAAGGGCTGCATGAGTGAGAACAGCAATGTGTGGATAGACATCACACTACAGATGAGTAGATTTACCCTATAAACTCAAGGCACTTACTACCTTTAATCTATTCAACATTCATAACGAAGCAACAGGTTGCGTAACCATCGCGCGTTTGTTTCCTATAATGAATCTAATGTCATCAGCTCAACCCGTGTAGTTCTTTGTTTTGCTACAAGATTGAAGCCATAATCCAGTAGCTGTGACGCAGTGAAGGACTACACAGGTAGTGCTGGAACCTATGTATACATAGCTTGATATGGTTCAGCCTAATGGTACCGATAGATACGTATGCGCACGTAGAACGAGGTTGTATGATAGATACACACGCACATGATGTTGAGATCGAATTGGGGAACTGTCGCCTGTATATTCCGCAATCCTATAGACTTGATTACGAGTGCCTAATTTTTCTATGAATCAAGTCGGGAGTGCATGGAAGGGACTGCTTATGTGACGGATTATCCACCCACTGATCTGTAGGGGGAGTGCATGGAAGGGACTGCTTATGTGACGGATTATCCACCCACTGATCTGTAGGGGGAGTGCATGGAAGGGACTGCTTATGTGACGGATTATCCACCCGCTGATCTGTCTATTACACTGGTTCTAAATGACGTACTTTTTGTCGATGAATATCAGAGCACGCGTGCAGCGGTATATAGGAATTGATGGCTTTCTACTAATTATGCTGTATGGATGGATATGATTTATTATATAGTGTTATACATACGTACGTCTTATACCAAGTACGGTCTTCACAAGTTTTCTTCCTCACGATCTCTTGTGTAAGTCATCATGTTTAGCTCATCATGTAGTTGCTAGATATATCATGTATCCATACCAACATATTATTTATCCATGTAATTATAAACATCATATACTATTGATCGCTCACAGGATACGCCAAAGTGCCATTTGGAGTCAAATCTCCGTCCTATTGAGGTGGTTTCATTGTTACTTAAGGGAGCTGCCAAAAGTCCACTTTATAGACAGGTGTCGGTTCTAAAGAGCTGGTTTCTCTATATAACTATCACTTAATAAATATAAGGGGAACACCAAAATTGTCCTTTATAGACAAGTGTTGCATCTACAGATCTGGTTTCAGTCTATAAGTGTCACTCATGGGAAAACCTTTATAGGCGTCCGTTATATATAGAGGTTACCACTAACACAGGTTCTATTGTGATTGTACCGACATGCGTGGGCCTCTACTAGATCGGCTGTGTGCGAACTGACTCACATCTCCCCGCTGCCGTCTCAGCTGCGGGTTGGCAGTGCGTTAGGTTTGCTGTAAACACACTGGACATGGCAGCAAGGTTGTTGAATGGGTGATGTGTTTTGGTGTGCGAGTAGTGAAATGGCCCGTCACACGCTTTAATTTCTCACAACACCGGCTGTGCTGCTGCTGTTGCACCCTAGCTGCCACCAGGCGGCACTGCTCACCGCTAGCAACATGAGAGTCCTATTATATAGATAATCTATATAGATATCTCTCAGGCGTGAGTAATCTTGCAATGTTTCATGTTTCAGATGATTTTAGAAGCAGATCTATCAAGTGAGCTTAGAATTTCTCTAAGACATTCATGCATGATATCTGTATATATAATGTCTCTATGAATATCCATATATAATTATCTACTCGAAACGAGTTTTCTAGCACGCGGGGAGAGTAATGTGCAGCATTCTTATAGTACTAGCTAGTTACACGGTGACGACTCCGCACAATTAAAGTTATTTTCGTGATCAGTAATGGTGGAAGCAATTGTTTCGTTGTGCGTGAATGGTCTCGTACGTACATGAGGGATGCACTTATAAAAGTCGATGAGTTTCGGTGTACTGGAGCGACAGCTACTGGTTTTTGATGATTAATGAATTTACGAGCAGGAATCGATTCGTTCCGTTATGTTTTATCGTACAATGTGCTGTTTAGCATCAACCTTTTACACGTAGCATAACTGATCCATATGTCTGAATTGACAAAAACTATTAATAAGGTAATCGTTATATATATATATATATATATATATATATATATATGTTATTGTGGTGTGTGTGTGCGTGCGTGTGTGTGTGCGTGCGTGCGTGCGTGCGGGCGTGCGTGAGTGCGTGCGGGCGTGCGTGCGTGAGTGCGTGCGGGCGTGCGTGCGTGTGTGCGGGTACAACACGAAATATGTCGGTAATATATATCACTAGTAGCAGGAGTGCAGAGAGCTATATCAACTCTCTACTTACTATTATCTACTGATCCAGCGCCTTGTTGTCTCCAACACTTGCCCTTCTCTCTCTCTCTCTCTCTCTCTCTCTCTCTCTCTCTCTCACTCTCCTCTGGTCTGCTCTCTCTTCTGCTATCTCTCTCTCTCTCCTTTCTTCCGAAATCCTTTTTCTCTCTCGTCGGGGGCTTTTCGGCCGGCCATACCGTGGCTTGGGGGGTAAGGGTTTAACTACTGATGGTATCTTCGAACCTACGCGTCATATAGTAAAAACGGTCATAGTAAAAAATCAGTCCCTCCATTCCGACGAGAGGGAAAGCGTGTTACAACTTGTTCCACGAAGCTTTGGGTGTCCATCCTTCACCGTGGACAACGCTGGAGTTTCTCACTTCAAAAGAGGCGCATCTAGAGCACGGACCCTGTAGGGGGTGCTTTGCGCTGCCGTGTGGTCCCGGACACAGTCTCGGCAAGCGATAGTGCTGCTCCCGTGTGGAATTCGTGGTATGTACGTACGTGCACGTACGCATGCACCGTCTGCCATTTACACCTCCACGTATATACACCATTATATATATATATATATGCATATAGAAGCTCTTTGGAAAGGATAGCAATGAAATACGCGTGTGAATGGCTGCGTGGTTTCATTCAGTCCTTCGTCAGACATTGATGCGGTGCCATTGAAGAATCGGTGACTTCATCGGGTGATAGACAAGTGAACACATCTGTGATTCTCAGTTTCGCTTTGTCTTCGCGCCGAGTTGTGATTACCGATCTTGAATGCAGTACCACGTTGTGTCACACCCACAGACGTGTAGGCATCACACAGACGAGGACCTACCGTAGCTCTACACATGTAGCTTTTTCGTCTGCCACAGTGGCTCTGTTTGTGTCCATCCCATCGCTCTGTAACAGGAACTTGTGGGTGACAGGAGCGAGTTACTGCCACAGTGGCAGAGAGAAGGGTATTGTAGGTAGAGCTACCACAATCATGACCAGAAGGTTTTCCCCCACTAGAACCCTACTCACACTCGCTTACGCGCAGACATTCATCATCAAACCCACCACCCTCACGCCACGACGCAATCATCATCATCCACATCAGCCCCGCTACCGCCCACGACATCATCATACATCAACCCACACGCGCTACTGGCCATGAATTCATCATGCATACCATCACCCGCTAGCGCCGGGCGACGACCGATGGCATTATCATCACGCGTACGGCGCGACGGAGACGGCCGGGGGGGCACGACCATTCATCATCATCACCATCACCCGTTACTCCCGCCGGGGGCCACTGAACATCATCATCGATCAACACACCCGACCCGCTACTCGCTACGGACCATCAGTCACTCATCGACATCACCCGTCACTGGGCGACGACCTACCATCATCATCCACCCACCCACTGCTACCCGCCAGACGGATATCTCACCGGGACCACTTCGGTCACCTGGCTACACCGACGGCACCGCGCAGCACCGACGTTTTCACCCACATTGAACACTTAATTTAACACCAGACACCAACACCCACCATTACACTCAACAACACCACCGCACTCACCAAACCACGCAGCCGCGGCGGTGCCGCCGGACCACTGGGCCACGGCGGGACCTGTCCTGCCAACGCCAGGCTGCCGCCCACCGCTGGCCGACCACCGACGAACCCCGGACCACCATGCAGAGGCCGACGCGGACCGCACCGGGCGACGGCCGGCAGGCCACGGCATCACCGCGCACCGCACACACGACGGCAGGCACCGCCGCCGCAGCCACTGCACCGAACCAGACCGCCACCACGCGCACTGACGCCACCGTTTACCATGCGGCCATCGCCAACACCAGCGCCACCCACCCGCCACCGTTACCACCGCCACCCACGCCCCACTGCAACCACCACCACGCGCCATCCCCACCGTAGACACACCA